TTCCACCATCTTATTCAGCTTCATACGCTGACCCAGCCTCAACCATAGAACCCCTACATCTGCACAACCGGGGGGAGGTGTGTGTGTGTGCACGCGCGCCTGGAAGTCAGGGTTGACTTCTGGTGACCTCTACTGGGGGCTTGGAAGTTTTTCAGAGAGGTGGCTTGATTAGCCTGCCTCTGCATCCCGCCTCTGGTATTCATAGAATCGTAGAATCACGGAGTTGGAAGGGGCCATACAGACCATCTAGTCCAACCCCCTGCCCAATTCAGGACCAGCCTAAAGCATCTCTGACAAATATTCGTCCAACCTCTTCTTGGAGGTCTCCCTTACAAGTACTTCCCAGAGTCGGGCCTGCTTAGCTTCCGAGATCTGACGAGATCAGGCTTGCCTGGGTTATTCAGGTCAGGGCTACATCAGCACAACCTTGATATAATTGTCACAGGCAAGTTGTGTTTCATTTCAAAAATAAAATTGTCTGATATTATAATGATGAAATTATTGTAAACTCTAAAGAAGTTGCCCACTTTCCTGGAACATGTGGAGGGTGCCATAGGGAACAGTGTTCAAAAGCGCTACAGGTGGCTTCCAAGCCAGTGAGTTTTATTGCTGAAAGCTATACTATGTAAAGTTAGCGAATGTCAGAGATAAGGGCAGGTGTGTTCCTATTCCAGTTGGCAGAAGCTGGTGAAAACTGCATGGCAGTGTTTGAAGTGTCAATGGGTAAGGTTTAACATTGAGTCTGGGGCTTTTTCTGAATCTCGTCAGTCTTATATTCTATTTTAAAAGTGAGATGGGGAAGCATATTTTTGCCACATACAGATGAGGCAGGTACAAGTGGCCAAGGTGGAGGCAGCCTCTAGCTGGCAGGCCCAGATGCCAGTGTTGTTTTCCCCATCCGAAACTCAGGATTCTGTGCCTCTCAAAGCCCACTTGGCTCTTTATCCGGATCCCACTTCAAAGCATTCCAAAGGGTTTCCTGTTTCCCACACAGCAGACATCACAAACCTCAAGTTCATTCAAACTGACAATGCTTGTGTAATTTATTGGGGTTGCAGAGTTGAACATAACTTTAGTGCAGACCAAAGGGTTCTTACCATTTCCCTTGCTATTTGACTGCATTGTTATACACCATGTAATCTGCCTTGAGTCTCAGTGGGAATGCAGATTGCAGGGTATAAATAAAGTAAATAAAATGATTTGGGGACGATGGGGGTACAATGACCCCCATTGCTTTATTGCTTTATTTACTTGGAAACAAGACTGCTGATTTCAGATGGGTTTACTCCCAGGTAGGAATTGCATAACATTGCACCCCAAAAATCGTTTAGGAAAAGGGATGCTGGTATGTTTGCTTCCTCCACCTGCCTCTGCAACATTTGCCTGTGTCAGCATGACAGTTTTCATTGTAGCAAATCACATTGTGGAGAATATAACAAATGTATTTGGAAATTACTCCATCAAGCTTTTTCAAATGTACTGAGTGATTTTAAAGGACTGCTGCAGTAAAGCGTTCTGCAGTCCAAAATAAATATGTCTTGTAACAGGGGTATGTTGTATGTATTTTGTAAAAAGCATTCTCCTACCCTAACCCGCGGATCTGCCATAGCCCTAATGATTAATTCCGGGACCGACACACTACCATGAAGGCACACTTCTGAGAGTTTTGAGTTTTCTTTGGTGTTCCATACAACAGTATTTTCCTTTTTTGTAAGATTGGGGGGGAGGGTATTATAAAATCCCAACTTGATATTAAATCTCACCATAAACCTGAAATCAGCTTAGCTTTCAAAACCTGCGGCTCTTAAGCGAGTTTAGCATCTAAATAAGAGCAATAAGATGTTGCTTGCTGGAGTTAATTGCTGAGAGAAGCTCATGAGTTGGAATAATTTTTAGTGCCCACAGAACTCCAACGGAATGGTTTACCCAGAGTCATCAGCATATGGGATCTTATTGCAGTTTACAAGTTCCCTTTTAGGTAAGAAGTACTTGATAAGCCACCATCTTTGATAATAAAAAGAGAACAAAAGTCCTGCCGTGTTAACAGTGATGAATTTACAACATATTAGTCCAAGTCTGAGAAAGCGGAAGGCTCGTTGTTGTTTAGAAATATATTTGTAATGCTGCTGGCCATTATATATGCTTTTACCATAGGATTCAAAACATAATGCTCAGGACTATTACTGCCAGGTTTCTAGCTCCAGAGTTTAAGCAACTGAGAGTTGTGCAGAATTATGCTGGGTGAACTTTCAGCCATCACACAGGTGCAGCGAGGAAAGAAGCCATGGCTGATAAATCCCCCCCCCTTTCCAAACAACTCATAAAATTATGTCTAAACCCAGAAGCCCTAGATCTTGTTCGTGGTCTCTGTGCATCACACCTCTGGGATATGGGGTGTCTGCGCCAACCCCAATCGGTACACTTGAAAGCAAAAGCGGATTTTCACGCCCTCTCCCCAGTCACATACAGAGCTCCAGTGCGCATGACCAGGGGAGGGGCACGACAATCCCACCAGTTTTCTGGTGGGATTGCTCTTTTACTTGGACGGGACTAAGCCTTCTAGGAAATCTCCAGTCCTTTTTGTCTCCTACGCTCTGCTATCGCTTGGGAGTAAACTTTCATCGGAACGCCTGTCTAATAGATTGTGGAGGCGATTAAACTCTGTTACCTATTGGCTCAGCCTGTTGGCTAAGAAGCCTCTCCCAGGACTGCTTCGTGCACACTCCACATGAGCGGTGGCCACCTCTACAACCTTCCTGAAGGGCAGGTCGCTCCATGACATTTGCAGCACAGCAACTTGGGCTGGCCCCCACACGTTTGTGAGGCATTATGCCCTAGATGTGCGTCTTCATCAGCGTGCTGTGGTGGGACGTTCTGTGTTGCAATCGGTGTGCATCTAAGGACCTCAGCTCCCTCCTCCAGGTAGGCAGTGTTTTTTTGCTTGTTCCTCTCCCAGAGGTGGGATGCAGAGAGACCACTAAGAAGATAAACAGGTTGCTTACTGTAACTGATGATCTTCGAGTGGTCATCTGTGCATTCACACCACCTGCCCTCCTTCCCCTCTGCTGTCGGTCCTCTTGTTACTATTAGACTGATGGTAGCGGTCAGAAATAACTGGCGGGATTGTCATGCCCCTCCCCTGGTCATGCGCACTGGAGCCCCGCACGTGACCGGAGAGTGGGCACGAAAATCCGCTTTTGCTTTCAAGTATACCAATCGGGGTTGGCACAGGCACACCATATCCCAGAGGTGTGAATGCACAGATGACCACTCGAAGATCATCAGTTACAGGTAAGCAACCTGTTTTTAGCACTATGCTTCTAAAGTAATTATTTAGTATGTAATACTGAAGTAGCCAGCACTCCATGCCGATTTGAGTGGTTCAGTAAATATGCAGAAAACAAAATTATTGGAGATTAATCGAAAGGAGAGGGAAGTCCTCAAAATATACTGGGCATGCTCCAAGAGAATGGAATGTTGAGAGCATATGTGAGTCCTAATAAAAGATCTGTTCAAACCCTCTAGGGCAGGGGTGTCAAAAATGCTTATTAAATTTGCAGATGATACTAAATTGGGAGGGGTAGTACATATGATAGAAAACAGAGTCAGGATAAAGGATTATCTTGACAGGCTGGAAAACTGGGCTAAAACAAATTTAATGAATTTCAATGGGGGGAAATGTAAAGTTCTGCATTTAGGTAGGAAAAATCAAATGCATAATTACAGGCTGGGGGAGACTTGTCTTGGCAGTAGTATGTGTGAAAAGGATCTAGGGGTCTTGGTAGATCATACACTGAACAGAGTCAGAAGTGTGATGCAGTAGCTCAGGGATGTCAAACATATGGCCGGGGGGGGGGAGGTGTGGATCAGGCCCCCAGAGGGCTTCTATCAGGCCCACAGTGGAACTGACTGTCTTCTGCTTCTTCTTCCAGTTCTGCTGCTGCTGCTGCATCATCATAGCTTTGCAGCTTACAGATACACACCTGAACAGCATACTCAAGATTGCAACAGCACAGACATTTTGATGCAATAATTCAGAGCAAGAGGTGTCATTTATCAGACACTGTTAAATAAACAAAATATTGCAAGAGTGCTAATGTTTTAAGCGTGTTTTTATTTTAAGTAAAAAAAAACCCTTTGTGTTTACGTCCTTTATAAAGTTTATATCTCCGCTACCTGGCATTACATTTTATGACACACATGGCCTGGCCCAACGAGGTCTCATTTATGTCAGTTCTGGCCCTCATAACAAATGAGTTCGACACCCCTGCTCTAGGGATTATAAAATTCTGGAGGGGGAGATATAGCTATGTGGGAATTTTTGAAATTACTCTCCTCCTTTCCCTTCCCTCTCTCTCCACAATTCCTCCTGGGCTCCTAGCTTGTTCCCTCAGATGGTAAAATGGGTGGTACGTGCTGATCACAAAGAGAGCAGAATAGGGCCACCAATGGCAAGAGGGAGATTTCTGAAGATCTGAATGAAAGACTGCATATGCAGCAAAACAAGGGCTTCCCAATTCATCTCTTCCCCAAAAGGAGGGGGGAGAACCCCAAAGAATGCCACAGAGTTGACCCTCCAAAGCAGCCATTTTTTCCAGAGGAATTGATCTTGGTTGTCCAGAGATAAATTGTAATAGCACAAGATCTCCAGGGTGCTACCCGGAGGTTGACAACCCTACCTCTTGGGGGTGTTATGCTTGCTTTTCTTTCAACCTAGTTGGTGATAGCAGTCTAGGAGACTGTCATGGGTATATTCATCTCCCTCAAACACTCTGAGATTTTTTTAAACTGTTTTTGGAGGGGGGCTCTTGAGTGTTGTAGTATAAATGTTACTTAAAATGTATTAATTCGGATTGGAGGAAATGTCCCTAATTAACGTCTTCCAAACAAACGGGGAAGGCTGCTTAGCATAAAGGAGGACCTTAGTGTATAGTGTATGAAACTGGGGTCAGAGGATGCATGTCTGATGTTGCCCATTTCATCTCCCCTCCCTTTCCCAGGCGAGGCTGCAGTTTCTCTGGCTTCGCTTCAGCTTAAGCGTCAGAAGAAGTGAGAGGAAAGAGAGGGATTTCCCCCCCTTGCAGTTTCTCGCAGGTCAGCCATTTGTGTACTTTGATTGCATTCTGAACATTGGGCAGTGCGCGTGGTTGGAAAACAAATAAGGACACAGCTGCCTAAAACTATGTAAGTTGTCTCTCACTTTAAAGTGCATTCCACTTCCACCAAAATCTGTCATGTGAAAATTTATTTCCATATTTGTACTTTATTTTTATTTTTTTACACATTGTCAATTGCTATAATTTTAAACTGTTTTTCTGGGATGGAGACAGCAATGGATGGGGTTCTACCTGTGAACTTAATGTTTCAGGGACCACCACCCCCATGCTCAAAGTGTAGCCCCTCATGTCCCCCCCCCAGCTGTTTCTAAAGACTGGATCAACATGATTGGCTGCAGTCAAAAGAGAGAAAAATGACAGAGCCTTTATGTGCACACTCCATGCTCACAAAGGGCGTTTTTGTGTTCTGGCTGATGTGTGTGATACAGCAATAAAAAATGCTAGTGCAATCTTGGGGTGTATCAACAGAGGCATAACATCCAAAGCACAAGAATCATAGAACGTTAGACTTGGAAGGGACCTCATCTAGTCCAACTCCCTGCACTCTGCAGGAGCATAGCCCTACAACATACCTGAAAGATGGTCGTCCAGCGAAGGAGCATCCACCATCTCCCGAGGCAGTCTGTTCCACTGCTCAACCACTCTTACAGTTAGGCAGTTTCTCCTGATATTTAGCCGGTATCAACTCCCTTGTAATTTCCACCCATTAGATCTAGTCTTGCAATCAGGAGCAAGAGAGAATAGATCTGCTCCATCTCCTACATGACAGCCCTTCAAATACTTGAAGACTGCAATCATGTCCCCTCTAAGCCTTCTCTTTCCCAGGCTAAACATACCCAACTCTTTCAGCCTTTCATAAGACTTGGATTCCAACCCTCTCACCATCCTGGTTGCCCTCTTCTGGACACACTCGAGTTTGTCAACATCCTTCCTAAAATGTGGTGCCCAAAACTGGACACAGTTCTCCAGGTGAGGCCTGACCATAGCAGAATAGAGCAGAACTACAACCTCCCGTGATCTGTTAATGCATCCTAAGATTGCATTAGCTTTCTTAATAGTCACATCGCACTGCAGATATCATAGTCCCGCTGTACACTGCACTGGTCAGGCCGCACCTGGAGTATTGTGTGCAGTTCTGGAGGCCTCACTTCCAAAAGGACATGGACAAAATGGAGCGAGTGCAGAGGAGAGCGACTAGGATGATCGGGGGCCTGGAGACCAAGCCCTATGAGGGAAGGCTGAGGGACGTGGGACTGTTCAGTTTGGAGAAGAGGAGGTTGAGGGGGGACATTCTTGCTCTCTTGAAGTATTTGAAGGGCTGTCACTTAGAGGAGGGCAGGGAGCTGTTCCTGTTGGCAAGAGAGGATAGGACTCACAAGAATAGATTTAAATTAAGGGTGGGAAGGTACCGGCTGGATATTAGGAGAAACTTCTTTACAGGAAGAGTTGTGCCACAGTGGAATCAGCTGCCAAGGGGGGTGGTAAGGAGCTCCCCCTCACTGGCAGTCTTTAAGCAGCGGCTGGACAAACACTTGTCAGGGATGCTCCTGGCTGATCCTGCACTGAGCAGGGGGTTGGACTAGATGGCCTGTAGGGCCCCTTCCATTTCTGTGATCGTGTAGGCAGACACTTCAAGTCATTAATGAGACAGGCTGGCCTCTTGCTTGTTCTCCCGATAAGCAAAGAAAGTAGTTATGATAGCAGATTCCCTTCTCAAGAGATCACCAGCCTACACTTATGGGTAACTCTTGTCCTTACAGTATTTTCTGGCTTCTCTGTTTCCATCAGATTGCCTTCCCATCTTTATGCCCTGTCTGCACAAACACCCTACCAGGCTGAGGACACTGCTTGGTCCTACCTGTTTGGCCCCACCTAAGAATTACCCCACCCTGCCAAATAACACAGGGTTTTTATTTTGCAAGTGTGATAGTTTCAATTTTAAACGGGGGGGGGAAGGAATGTTTTTAGGTAATTTTCAGGGGGCGGCAAGAACGCAACAGGATGTTGCTACTGCTGTGTGACTGTTCTATCAAAACGTTAATGTTTCAGCAGCCTAGGAACAGGTTAAAAAGAGGATTAGTTCCAAAGTAGAACATGTAACCACTTGAAGTTTTAGGTCTTTACTGCAGTGATCTGGTTTCCTTGGTAACAAGCAACTGCCATTCTCTCGTGTGCTCTCGCTCGCGCTCTCGCTTGCTCTCTCAAAAGGAAACACTCCTGATATTGGTGTTGGTCTGTTATGGTTGCAGGTGGTTCTTGAAATCTATTAGCAAAGAACGGGGTCCCTAGCCAGTAAGGGAGTATCTGTTTCCGATGACAGAAACAGATGATTTGATTACAAACCTAGATAGAGTGAAGGGACTGTTGGTGTTTAAAATATTTTTGTGCTTGTGCTTGTCCATATCTGCATTTCCCTTTCCTCTCCCAAACTACATCAGTTTTTTGTTTTTTTTTCTGACAAGTGTTGCTGTCTTCCCTGTACAATAAAATTATTCTTCATGTTAACACAAAAGTGCTTTTCTTCTCAAACTACTTCATAACTTTTATCTCTGTCATGTTTACAACAGCCCTGTAAGGGAGACCAGTGCTATTATTGCAAGCTTAGAGGTGGAGAGCTGAGTCTGATAAGCTCAGGAGTTTTTGTGAGTGCCCAGGTTCTTTGTAATCCAGCAATTGTCCCCTGTACCATTCCCAACAAATATTTATTGAGAGGTTTCTCCATGTGTCCTACTTGAAGCAACTTTAGGTGGGCAACTACGATGCATCTGCTTTGCATGCTCAGGGTCTCAGGTACAGTCCCTTGTTGAAAGGATCAGGTAGTAGGTGACATTAAAGATCTCTACCTCAGACCCCAGAGAGCCACTGCGAGTCAGAATAGACCAAACATACCTTGATAGATCAATGGGCTGGCACAGTATAAAGTAGCTTTATGTGAGGAGGGGCTTTAGCTCAGAGCATCTGCTTTGCATGCAGAGGGTTCCAGGTTTGATTTATTTATTTATTGGATTTATATCCTGCCCTTCCTGCAAGGAGACTCAGGGTGGGTCACAACAGTTAAAAGAGAGACATAGTAATAAATCCAATACAAATACAAAATCCTAAGAAGATAAAAATTTTAAAATTAACAACAGATGGCAAAAATCTCATTTTCCAGTAACCAAGGACATCTCTGGTGCTGGGCCTATGTTAACAAAAACAAGGATCCACTCAGCAGATGCCATTGTAATCTCTACAAAGGGCTGTTCACCTGGGCAGTATAGGCAGGGAGACCAAAGTGTTTAGACGTCCGCCGCCTCAGCCAAAGGCCTGTGGAACAGCTTTGTTTTACGGGCCATGTGGAATTGCATTAAATTCTGCAGGGCGCTGATCTCTAGTGGGAACATGTTTCCACCGGAAAATGTCCTGGCCCTGGTCGAGGCTAAGCAGACATCCTTTGGGCCAGGGACTGCCAGCAGATGCTGCTCAGCAGAACACAAAGCTCTACGGGGCACATTAAGGAAGAGACAATCCTGCAGATATGTCAGTCCCAGGCCGCATAGGGCTTTAAAAGTTAGTACCATAACCTTGAACCAGATCCGGTACTCAATTGGCAGCCAGTGCAATTGGTGTAACACCAGCTGAATGTGCACCTGTACAGATGTCGCAGTCAGCAGGCATATCACCACATTTTGCACTACCTGCAGTTTCTGGGTCAGATTCAAGGGCAACCCCATGTAGAGCATGTTGCAGTAATCTAACCTGGAAGTGAACATTGAATAGCTAAGTCCCGGGAGGAAAGATGGGGAACCAACTGCCTGACTAGCTGAAGATGGTTACATCTCTTGTTAAAAGGATCATTTAGTAAGTGTTGTAAAAGCCTTCCTTTCTTTGAAACCCTAAAAAGCCATTGCTAGTCAGAGTAAACAATACTGACTTGATAGACCAACAATGTGACTCAGTTTAAGGCAGCTTCACGTGAGTGTTAATATGTTTGGTAAAACTGGGGGGGGGGGGAATAAAGTAAAAGAATAATTAAAACATGAAGGCTCAGAATAGCAATCAGTAATTAAAAATGGCTTAAAAGTTGATCAGATCCAAGCAGCAGAATGCCATAAAATGATAACACCAGAAACAACAAGCAACTCTGAAAAGAGCATAAAAATTTATTACACTGAGAATAAAATTAGGCTACACCTGTTTAACCTCATCCCTCACAAACTGGCCCAAGTGGTGGCGTAGCGTTTTCTGTCTTCCCCATTTTATCCTCACAACAACCCTAACAGGTAGCTTAAGTGGAGAGAGATGCTCGAGGTCATCCAGTGGATTTCATGGCCAAGTGGGGATTCAAACTTGGTTTCCCTGGTACTAGTCTACATGGCACTGCCTCACACTGGCGCTACAATTAATACTGTTGTTCTATGAGCCATCACCAGGCCCCTGCCTGTGATTGTCACAGTTTTTTTTTTTTGGGGGGGTCGTCTGTGGACTTGGCAAGTTTTCCATTGATTCAGTCTTTTGAGTATTACTGATTTCTTCAGCTAACATTCTTGAGTATAAAAACAATGCATGCAGAATGAAGTATTTCCTTTAGAATTAATTAGAAGTTAATCCAAAGGCCATTAAAATTATTGAAAATACTCCTCGGAACTTCAGAGGAGCTTTTAAGTTAACGGCATAGCAGAGCACATTTAACCAAAGGGGAACAGAACCACTTTTATGGAGTAAATTGGTTCTTATTAGAACACAGGGTTTTTAATTATTATAAATACCTCCCAGAACAGGCAAGTGATTAGCCAAGATAGGATCTCCCTGTTACCTTAATATTTCCCTTGCCCTGAGTAACTAGGCAAACGAGACTTTTTTATTTATTTTTTTAAAGAGAATTAGCTTACAGCGAAATTTATGGCAATTACTTGGTGGGGGGAGGGGTTGTTAGGAGACCGTTTTCTAAAATTAGAATTGTTGAACAAACTCCAGCCA